CTCTACTTAGGGCGTTTCCAGTGGTGTTGCGATGGGGGTGAAAATGGGGTCTTGGGGGGGGGGGGGGTAAATGGGGGAGGGCTGGGGTGGTCTAATACAGGGTGTCCAGGGGCGTAGCTGACCCAAAATTTCGGGAGGGGCAGCGACATTTCGGAGGGAGCAGCGAGAGAAATTTTTACGAAAAAATTTGCAAATTAAAAAATCATAAGGGGGGTCCTTACAATTTTTTCGTGACCGCCGGATTTCGGGAGGGAGCCTAACAAGGGAACCACCTAAGGTCAAGGTGGCGTTTCATTATGGGACCCAGCCTATTTTGTGTAGAATTTTTTGCTGATTCCGAAACCGCTTTCAATTTTTGCTAAATAGCCCAATTTAAAAAGTTATGGCGATTTTAAGGTCATATCTGTGCAGGGACGTAGCGTAATACCGGCCCCGGGGGCCCGGGCCCCCCCCGAAATCGGCCGGGGCCCGAAAATTTCATAAGGGGGGACCCTTATGTTTTTGATTTTTTCAAAAATTTTGCTGCCTGCGGCGCTATTTTTGCACGTTTTTACGGTCAGTTGTAGAGCTATGTAACCTTTTTTCCAAAAAAATTTTGCCTACGGCGCTGTTTTTTCGGCAATGTTTTGAGCTTTTTGGAAAAATTTTTTGGGGCCCCCCCCCGAAATTTTTTTCTGGCTACGCCCCTGTATCTGTGCCCGCGGGAAGTCATCTGTCACGATGCCCAACTTTTTTATTTTAATAGGACAGTTGATTTTTAATAACCTATCTTGTAGAAAATTTTTTTCTGATTCGATTGGTATATTTCATTAGAGCGCTATGACCTATCGACGATCACTTACGGGGGTGTGAAATAGGCAATTTTTCACCATTTCCCATACAAAAAACGGAGTGCATACCAAGTATCGTCGATCTTTTCAATTTTCAACAATTTTGAGTTAAATAGTTCATTCTATAGAGAAAATTTTTCTGAATACGATGGCGATATTCGTTTTTGAGGAATCAGACCGGAAAGGCAAGATAAATGACTTTGAAGTTCGAAAAATTGGGAAAAAATGGAACTTTGAAACGCGATAACTTTTTAAATTGGGCTATTTAGCAAAAAAATAAAAGCGGATTCGAAATCAGCCAAAAATTCTGCACAAAATAAGCTGGGTCCCATAACGAAACGCCACCTTGACCTTAGGTGGTTCCCTTGTAAGCCCTCTGCCCTCCCCCTCCTAGGCGCCTGAGGGCGTCCCAAAAATACCCCCCTCGAGCGGTTCGCAGTGATGCCCGATTTTTACGATTTAGCTATCTATCGAAAGCTCTCGACGAGTTGAGGAGATATCTTCTTTCCGATTTGTAAACTTCCCGAATTTTAGACCCGATTTTCATTTTTTTTTTAGGCCCAAATTAAGCAAGTTTGTGCAAAAACTCAATTTAATCGGTTTCAGTCCCATCCGAGCTGTGTTTTCTATGCCTTTCAAAAAGCCGACCTTGGGCTGCCAGGAAAGCCCCGGGGTTATATTAGAAGAAAGACGGTATCCTATGTGTACCAAGAAAATATTAGCCGCCTGCACAGTGGGTGAACAATTTCGTAATTTGATAAGTGTTGGGCAGGCGATGGGAGGAGATGGGCTCGTTTCGGTGTGACTCGAGGTCGCACCCATTCTCGTCGCTTTCGCCCACACCGACCACTTTCCGGGCGCCGTTTTTGCGGTTGACATTTTTGCTGCTGGAATCATTGAGGATGCTGAGCTGAACTGTTATGCGTCTCCAAGTCCTATTTCTGCTAGCAGCGCTTATTCTAGTTGTAGCGGCCAGTGGTGGGGATTTTGTTTTATGGGATATTTTTTGACGAGCCTGAGCTTTAGAGCGTGATAATGCCTTTTCAGAAAGGGTGAAATCCAAGGAAAAGAAGAAACCGCGTTTTGATTGGTCGGCGTTTTACGGGGTTGAAGTCCCGGAGGTTATCCCAGATCACGCGCAGGTCTATTCTGAAGAAAAAGCATTCATATTACCCGGGCAGAAGCCAATTGAAGCGCCACCTGAAGCTACAACTCTCGGGATTACCAAATTTGAGCTAGAAGAAACTACAAAGGCCCACTCCTGGGTTAGCTATGAAAATTACGATGAATCGGACACGGAAAATGGGGCTACGGCACGGGGTCTAGAAGTTCAAACAACCACGGCGACGAATTCTGAAGCTACAATCCAGGCGGCCCCGGCTGGGTTGGATTTGCTAGAGCCGGCGGGCCAAACAACCGAAAACGAAGAGGGGGAAGCGGAACTGGAGGAAAGCGACGAATACGAAGAGGAAATAACAACCACCGTGCGCGCGAAGCAAAAGCTGAAAATCGAAAAAATTAGCGCGCACTTGCAGCGAGTGCCCGGGCCGGGGAAATCGAAGAAAAAGAAGAAGCTAAGGAAAGGGAAGGGTACAAAGAAGGCCAAAACGGGTTCGCCGTCCGAGAATGGAAAGCCGAAAGCTTCGGATGAATACGCTGTATCGGATTCAAAGTTGATGGTAGATGAGGAGCGCATCAGGGTGTTTTTCGAGAAAATGAAGGGAGATACGATCGATAAGATGGAAATTGAGGAGGGGATTGATGAGAAAAAGGAGGGCAGACTTCTAAAAACCGACTCAAAAAACCCGGCGATCGAAACGTCGATGCAAAAGCCGGTGGAGAGTGGTGAGGAAAGTCCGATCAGCTCTCACGAGAGCCTGGCAGCCGAATCGGCGGAAGAGGGCGAGTACACTATCGACTCGGACGAATTTGTCGAGGGTGACAAGGCGGTGTCGAAGCTGGATAAAGAGGCTGCGGATTTCCTGGGGAAGCTGGATGAAGCCAAATCCGATCCGGCCGTCGGGATTCTCAGCTCAGCCTCCAATCGCACAGAGGATTATGAGGAGCCCTCGGCGTCGAATTTGACGAGTTTCGAGTATGAGCTGGATCTCAACGGGACCGAGTTTGAGATAAGAGGTAGGTCTGTAAAGAGCATGAGTTTTAATATGGTTTCAGAAAGCTTTGGGCAGATGCGAATGCCGAAAAGCCGGCGGTACCGTCCTCGCGCGTTTGAGCGAGCTAAATTGGACTCGGCTTTTTTGGAATCAGAGTTGATGAGCTACAGGTTGGTTATAGAATTTTGAGGTATATCAAATCGCCGTTATTAAACGCATTAACGAAAAGCTTATCACTTTTTAGGGTCGATACAAACGAGACGGAATCTTTGCGCGAGTTGCTTGCTGACCCATTGCAGCTTGAGGAGAACAATTATGCGGATTCTCATAGGTATTTCAGATGCGTTATCTTACGCTATTTTTAGATATATATCTTTATATCATGGACACGATTTTAATAAAAAATTCGCTCCTAAAAATCCGATTTTCCAGAGACTTTGGAAGCAGCTTTATCTTGCCCGTACTCTCCGCGATAAACTACGACAATTTTACGGTACCCTTGATTTTTGCGGGTAAGTTAGTAACATTTATCAAGACCGCAAAAAAATCTAGACATTCCGGTGAACGTGCGCGTCCAGCTGAACATCATCCACCTGGCCAACTTTGACAGCGAGCAAATGGAGTACACGATCGACTTGGAGCTGGAGATGCGGTGGTACGATTTAAGGTAGGGGATTACGAGTTTAGTATCGATACTGAGTTGCAGGCTTCGAAGCAACTATTCGAAGCCGGTGCTGCTGCGGGAGAAGTCGGTGATTGACCGCATTTGGAGGCCGGACCCGTACTTTGTCAATTCAAAGTACTCGTATTTTCATATGGTGCGTAATTTGGCTTATTGTGTATCGTATAAACGTTAATTTATCATCATTTTTGCCTATTTAAAACATCATTTATCCATTCAGGTTTTTAAACTTTAGGTATCATTCCCGAATTTTCGAATGAGAATCACCCCAGAAGGTCTTGTCACTTACACTATGCGGTAAGAAAAAAAATAGAGAGTAGAATAAAGTTATTTCGATTTAGAGCCACACTATTACCCTCGTGCCAGATGGTATTTTGCAAATACCCGCATGATCGGCAGCGCTGCGACTTGTTGCTGTCGTCGAGTTAGTTTGGTCTAGGTATTTGACCTTTAGCGGGGGGGCGTAGTTTTTTTCCCCAGTATGTCCTTATTAACCAAATATAATCCGTTTTTATCGCATTTTACAATGTTTTAGATATAAAAAGAACCTAAAAGTATACAAACTTTCGAAAACTACGACTTTTTGCCCAAAAATGTATGAAAAATGACCTCAAAGGCAAAATTTTCGATTTTTGTCTTTTCAGTCGCCTTCCCGCACTCGTTCGTCAACTTTTCTTGGCATTCCACGCCGTTCACGTTCAAGACGGCCATCGCCCTGCCCGAGCTGCACATCAACACCATCACCGCCGAGACGTGCGAGGTCGAGAGCAAGCTCAGTGAGTCACACAATCATTAAAATCAAGAAAAATTCTTGTTTAATAATATCTATAAAGTAGCTTGGAATTCCGATAACTTCCAGATTACGCACTTTCAAAGTTGCACTAAAAAAACTAGCAACCGAATTGCAAAACTTCCAGTCCGCTCCTCTTGCCTTCGTCTTCTCTTCCTGCTGGAGCGTGACGGTGCCCGGTTTATCGTCGAGAAATACGTGCCCTCGACGTTGGCCATGATGTTCGCCTGGGTGGCGCCATACGTGCCGTACAACTACGAAGACGTACGGATTGTCACGCCGATCATGGTGGGCTACGAAAAAGTCATAAACCGTTTTGCTAGGTGCTGCTCGCGCTCGTGCAAATGGAAAAGGACGATTCCGCCATCCGGACCTCCTATTTGACGTCGATGAACGTGTGGTTTGGCGTGATGAAGGTGGGTGTAAAGGGGGGGAAATAAGCGTACTACACGCGCGGAGTGCACAAATCTTTTATGCCGATACCGAAAGCACACTCATATATGACACGGCGAGGGCCCAGGGGTGGTCAGAAACGATTAGAAAAACAGCGGAAACAGGGTTTTTGCCACGTTTCACTCGGTTCATTTGGCGACGTTCATCTGCGAGTAGAAGTCCAGAATGTTGGCCTGTCAATTGGCGCGTGGCGTTGTAAAGTTGTCTAGCGTACCGAATACTTGGCGTGCCACTCGTGCTCGAGGCGGTGGCGCTCGAAGGCCTCGTCACAGAGCCAGGCGGCCTTCAGGGCATCGGGAAGGTCGGGGGTGGTGAGGAGGCTTTTGATCTGGATTTGTGGGGTTAAAGAGGCTGACCGCAACGCATCCGCGACACGTTTACTCACCTTTTCCACATGTGCATCGGTCCTGATGGCCGGTTGGATGGCGCGGATGAGGCGGAGCGTCTCGTAGGGGTCGTCACGTAGCCTAGGTCGAGGGATGGTAGAGAGAGCAAGAGAGAGAGAGAGAGAGAGAGAGAGAGAGAGAGAGAGAGAGAGAGAGAGAGAGAGAGAGAGAGAGAGAGAGAGAGAGAGAGAGAGAGAGAGAGAGAGAGAGAGAAGGCTAGATAGGCAGAGACAGAGCGAGAGAGAGAAAGAGAGAAATAGAGAGTGAGAGATATAGAGAGAGGGAGAGAGGGAGAGAGAGAGCGGGAGAGAGAGAGAAAGAGGGGAGAGAGAGAGGCGAAACACGGATTCGCCCGCACACACCAGACAAAATATCTCTTTTCTCTCTCTCTCTCTCTCTCTCTCTCCCTACCTCTCCAAGAAGCGCCCAAAATTGGCCACGAAATAGTCGACGAGCTGGGAAGTATCAGCTTGACGACCAGCCAGGAAGGTCAGCTTTTCCGCTAGGCGCCGATCGGAGAAGACGTCAAGCACCCTGAAATTATAACTCGGTAAATGCTTTATTTTTTAAAGGAATGGTGACAGCAAGGTTGTCATCCGCCTTCTGCACACTCCCTTTAAAAACCCTACCTTTGCGGGTATTTCCACTCCTTGCTGCATAGGAGCGCCTCGGAAAGGGTGTCGAGCTCGTCGAGGCTGGCTGAAATTGCTAGTGATCGTCGCAGCGAGTGATAGAGAAAGAAAGAGAGCGAGAGAGAGCGAGCGAGACTGAGAGATCGAGACCTACAGGGAGTAACACTCTCGAGACCGAGCTTTTGCCAAATGTATTCAGCGACGTGCTCGTCGGCTTCGGCAGCCTTGCAGTAGACGAACAGGCGGGTAGCCTCCGGAATACTGTAAGAGGCCTTTTATCTGGCGTAAGCTAATGAGGTACCGGCTGCAGTTGCTTGTCGGTACACCCTCCTCGCATGAGTCTTGGACGTCAGTGCGGAAAACGGTGGCCCAGTCGGATTTGTTGTTCATCTCCAGACACCATGCGGGGGTTCTGAAGGTGAATTTGGTCTTCTCTCTCACGCGCTCTCTCTCTCTCTCTCTCTCTCTCTCTCTATCTGATACGCCGAAAACTCACTCCATCTGCCCGTAATCCTCGCAATGCTCGTAGAATTTCCCGACGGCCTAGAAAAAAGTTTGGCTCTACAAAACACACACACACACCTCGACGAGCTTGACGACGGACTGATTTTGGCCATTCGCCAGGAGACGACGATTGACCTTGTCGAGTTGGGCGCCGAGGGCGCGACGAGCCGCGTTGTCTGGCTCGACGGGGATCAGTTGAAGGAACTGGAGGGCACGCGAGTAGGGCTCCACACCGGCTTCCGCCATCGCGAACACGTCCGAGTAGAGGGTGGCACGGGTGTACGGGTTGGGGCACTGCAAGGCTCATCTTTTAGTGAGAAGAGAGTGAGAGAGAGTGAGAGGAGTGAAAGAGAGAGAGAGAGAGAGAGAGAGAGAGAGAGAATACCGAAGATCGACCCACAATAGTCAAAATATTGGCGCGCACGTCGGCCCAATGGGCCCAATAGTTGACGCGAGCGTACGCGACGCGGCCGGGGTTGATGCAGGGGACGCGGGGCGAGTTGACGACGAGTAGCTCACCTGAAGTCATTCTAGGCTAAACCCAAGCTAAGCAAAGCCCAAGCCTAAGCCAAACCCAGGCCCACCCACCATCCCTCAAGTAGTCCGGCTCGCGCATCTCCGGCCGCTCGGCCCACACGATCGGCAGGTGCCAAAAGCTAGAGTACCACAAGGTTCGACAGGCGCTTGAAGTTTATCTACTCGTCCGGGCGGCTTTCCTCCTCCATGGGCGTCGTTTTCGAGTAGCGGAATGGGGAGGCCGTCACCGTGTACTTGTTGGGGTTGATGGCCTGGCGGATGACGTCGATCCGGGGGTAGCCGCGCTTAAAAAGGTCGAATTTTTTGCGAGTTTGAAAGGGCCATTGCGGCCTGGATCAGACCTTACCACGCGCAAAAAATCCTGATGCGCCTGGACGGCTCGCTGCCATTTGTCGTCCTTGTTGAGGTCGTGCTCCCAGAGGTCTGCGGAGGTGACGGTGGAGTAGGAGTTGTTGGTGAGAAAACCCTGAATTATGGATGTGAATGAGTTACGGATGCCTTCGAAGAAAGGAATAGAGGAGAAGCGAGAGAGAGAGAGAGAGAGAGAGAGAGAGATAGAGAACGCGCTCACTCTCGCTCTCCCTCCCTCTCTCACCCACCTTGACCATCCGCCAGAAGCGCTCCGACCCGATCGAGCGATACATCGTGTAGATGCCGTGTGCAGATTTCAAAAGGCTGCGCGGCTCGAAGACGCTGGCGATTTCAAGCGGAGTCCGGGGCCATTTCTAGAATTTGGGCTTTCTACGCATTAATGGGAGCTTCAACGCGTTGCAGGTCCCTCAAGCTCCAAAATGGCTCACATTGAACGGGTCGGTATCATTTTGTGGCTGCCGGAGGGCGGGAAGTGGGTAGCCCGGCTCGGCGTCGAGGGGAGCGAGGTGTTCAGCCATGAAGAGGTCATCCTGCGGGGGTTGAGTTTTAGGTGATTTTGCGTGTCTCGCGCTAGATAGATGGCGCGCACCGCAACCGCGCCGCGTTCATGTGGCCCTCTAGATGATCTTGAACTTCTACCGGTTGTTGATACGGCTTGGCGATGTCGTAGTAGCGGTAGGCAAAGAGCCGACAAAACGACGAGAAGCCCTCGCTGAGCCAAAGATCGTCCCACCAACGCATCGTCACCATGTTGCCGAGCCACTAAAATGAGTCAAGGGTCTTTCTCTCTCTCTCTCTCTCTCTCTCTCTCTCTCTCTGTTTCTCTCCCTCTCCCTCTCGCCCTCACTCCTGCCCACCTGTTTGGCCAACCCTTCGGCCACGGCACCGGCGATAAGTTGCAGCCTAGGGACGGCTTCAAAGCCCGAGGAGTCGATCAGGGCCTAAAGAGCATAGAATAAAGCTGTACAGCGGAGCCACACGCGGCTATACGGAAAGCAACCGCCACGCGTGTACTGCCCATATCCCTCACCTTCTGGTCGACGGTGATCAACCCCAGGCTGGCCACCATCCCACGCGACACCCCGTGCACAATGATGACGTCTAAACGCAGTAAATCTGGCCGGAAATGTTCATCTACCGAGTTTCTGAAGCGGGTACTCGAGGCCGAGCATCGCTTCGAAGTGGGCCAGCAGCTCGACGGTGACGTTGAGAAGCTCCTTGGACAGCTCTGAGCGCGCCTCCCGCGCGTAAGCGGAGACCTGGGAAGGTGCAGGTCACAACAAAATCTCAAATGCCTTACCCTGACCCTCCCTTCCAGCGTCCCCGTCTCGTGGCCCAGGTTGTGGATGGCCAGGGCAAGGCGATGCGGCGGAAGTGGCGGGGTGGGCTCGAAGCGGGTCCTCGTCCATTCGCCGTCAATTTCTCTAAATTTGGGGTTGGTTTCGAAATTTGGAGTTCGATTACGGCTGGGGGAAGCCGGACGTCATCGGCATGTTCGAGGTGGCGGTCGTGTTTTTTGGGTGGCGCACGGAGAGGGTCCAATTGGCCTGAATTTTCCAGTCGTTATGTCCCTCTCTCTCTCGCCCTCTCTCTCTCTATTTCTCTCTAGCTTTCTCTCTCTCACCAGAAAGCGTGGCTCATCAAAGCACGGCACCACCCTCCTAGCGTGCGTCGCCTCCAGGTTCATCAGCGCCGACACGGCGCCCCCGTGCGGTGAGGTACGGTAGAAGCCGTGCAGCCCCTCGTTTATCGTTCCTTTGTACGCAATCTAAATTGGCATTCCGCTCCGTTGCGCGCCTCTTTACACCCACCTGGACATGGTGGGTCCCGGCCGGAATTTGGTCGCGATGCGCGAGGGCGATACGCTCTAGCGTGTCGTTGTGGGCGACGCTCAATCGGCGCTAGGATTCAGCGCGTTTTCTGGGGTTTAAAGGGACTACTGAGGTTTTTGGCTCTAGAAAAAACGATTTTCATGGCGTTTCTCGCCCCCTTAAAGGGGTTGTCAAGGCAAAAATAGGCTCCAGAAAAGTTACCGTATCGGCTGGTGAACTCGAGAACAGGGTGGCAAAGGCAATGTCGAGGCCTTTGCTGTACAGCTCGATCGAGTCGTGCGGGGCGTCGATGACCAGCTGGAAGTGTGGGGAAAATGGCACTAGAAGCTTGGAGCTACCGTGATGTTGACAAGGCCGTAGAAGACGTACGCCTGGTCCGTAGGAATTTGGGTGCCGTGTTCTGGGAGGTAGACCTTGGAAAAAAAGTTAGCGAGAGAGAGAGAGAGACAGAGAGAGCGAGAGAGAGAGAGAGAGAGAGAGAGAGAGAAAGAGAGAGAACACAATTTTCAGACACCTACATGCAAATCCAGATCATAGTGCAACGGCCGATAAGCGTCGCTGGGAATCTGCCAAGTAGAGCTTCTAAAAAATGGCCCAGCTTCGCAAGCAGTTCACAACTTCCAATCTCGAACCCAATAAAAACCAAACCACCCACATGTTGATGATCATCTTCGGGTCGGGACCCCCGGTTTCCAAGGGGCCAAACTCGTGCTGGATCTGGCGCATCAGCCTGGCCTCCTTGCTGTTGTCGAAGGGCCTGAGAAGGTGTTTGGGCTTAGGTATAGATCTTTGACCTGCTCGAACTCGTGCTCAACGCTACGGCAGTTTACATGCCTCTAGCGAGCCCATTGAACTGCTCGAACACATGCCAAACGCTACGGCAGGCCACGTGCCTCTACCGAGCCCTTTCAACTGCTCGAACTCGTGCCCATGCTACGATAGACTACGTCCCCTAACCCAAGTCACCGTACTCGTCCAAGCTGTTGACCATCCACATGTAGACGCCAACGCCGAAAACGAAGGCGAGGATGAGAAGCAGGGAGGTGACCACGCAGCACATGTTCCGGCTTCCGGTAGATGAACGTTCGCTCTTGGAGGGGGAGTCGGGGCGGGTCGACTAAATGAGGGTGTTTTTTGTGTTTTTGCGGCACCTCGGACACATCTCCAGAGGGCGGCGTCTCGTCACGCTGGGCGGGGAGATCGGACTGGTCTTCTGAAGACTTCTGAAATAGAGGATTTTTGACGTTTTGAAGGGAGAGTGTCACGAAATTGAGGTTGTTTAGCGTTCAAGGAACGCGTGACAGCGGCGCCGCGGACGCGCTGCGTTTGACCCGCTAATAGCCCAGAACCAAAAATTCTCTCACATAGCTCGACGAGTGGGCGATGTCGGACTTTGAGGCGCGCTAAAAGTTGGGTAAAAATAGCAAGAAAATGAAGTAGGTAAGAGTTTACTTTACCCCCCCCCCCCCACAGCCGAAGGGTCTCAAAGTTGTCGGTATTTCCGCTTATTTTATCGGGATTTTCGCAACGCCATTCGATAGAGCGTCGAAAAATATACTAAGAGTTTTAATTTGAGCCTACAATAATGTAAAATAAAAAAGTTATAGCCAAAAACTTCCGGCTGGGGGGGGGGTAAAGTAAACCGTAGCCATGAAGTATTTATTTTACCCATTGCACGACAGGGGTCGATGCCTGGGTGGTCGACCGGGTGGGCGACCTTGTTAGGGAGTGCTTCGTCGCGCGTATCGTCTTGAAACCGATTTCCTGTTGGGGTACTGTAGGCGGGGCAACATTTGGCATACCCTCCTGGAGGTGGACATCGAGATGGGCGACCTTCTTGGGGTCGGTGGGTGGGAAAAGTGGACTGAATTCTTGCTTTTTTATATTTTGTGAGATGCAAACCTAGAAGATGGTGATTTAGCTAACTGATTGCATCTCTCTCTCTCTCTCTCTCTCTCTCTCTCTGCCTTCCCCTCTATCTCTCTCAGCTAAAGTGTCGATTTCCAGGCATTCTCCGTCCTCTCCCTCGTCGAGTCGCTGATCATCCTCGCGTTCATTAAACGAAGTCGTGCAATGGTAGGCCTAGCTTTCTCAAAAAAATCAAAAATTTGCAGTTTTAAGCAAACTCTAAAAAACAATAGTTTTTCTACGATTTTTAACTAATGCTATTTGAAGGAGAAAAACGCCTCGAAAGCCATCACCGAGCTAGAGCGGGAGACGTTTTTGGCGGAAAAGCGGAAATCGTTGCGTCATGCTCATCTACTGGACCAGGTAGGAGATCTGGCTCTCTCTCTCCCTCTCTCTCTCCCTCTCTCTCTCTCTGGCTCTCGCCAAGAACGTTATTTTTCAGATTTGCCGCGTGCTCTCGCCAGTGTTCTTCATCGTGTTTTTCAATTATTATGTTTTATTTGTGGCCCAAGGTGATGATAATGATTGTGTGAGGAGGGTACCGTTTAAGGGGTTTTTATCAAATTAAAGAGAGAGAGAGAGAGAGAGAGAGAGAGAGAGAGAGCGTAAGAGAGATAAACGGTGCGGCAATTCGGCTTTCATAATACCCCTCAATTGCTCTGTGATTTTTGCTGGTATCCATCTTGTAGTCTATGGCTCACGAGCCTCCACGAATTTCTTGTCATATTTATGTAATACTATAAAGCTTTATGCAACGATTTCGTACCCGCAATGAGGATGAGACCGGAATCAGCGAAGTGAGAATCAATGGAAATACGGGAATTTACATTACTGCAGTACTACACCTAGAAACTCTTGAGGCTGCTCTGCTTCCGGAGGAGCACTTTCCGGAATGCTGCCCGGAAATCGCGGGAGAAGGCGGCGTAGAGGAGGGGATTGACGGCAGAGTTGGAGTAGCCGAGCCAGAAGGCGAGGAGGAAGACCCATGATGGGATACAACCGGAGAAGAGGGAACACATTTCGTAGGCCTGAAAAGGGAGGGGTTAGAGAGGTCAGAGAGAGAGAGAGAGAGAGTGAGAGAGAGAGAGAAAGAGATAGAGATAGCGATAGAGAGAGAGCTAAAGACAGATTAGCCCCAGAAAAGAGAGTCCGAGCTAGAGAGAGAGACGCAGAGAGAGAGAGAGAGAGAGAGAGAGAGAGAGAGAGTGAAAACGACTTACCTGCAACACATAAATAGTCGTGAACGGTGACCAGCAGATGACAAAAGCTCCCACAACCACAGCCGTCGTCCTGGCCACCCGCAGCTCGGTTCGCATCGAATACCTGGCACCTCGGCCACGCCCGCCTCTGAAGCTATCATGAGATTACGATCGTAAGAACCGAGGCTTACGAGGCGAGATGGGGGAAGATATCTGTCCTCTTGGTCTTGTTCGGCACGATGGAGACGACCATCATGTGGGAGAGGAAGGTGCGAATCGCTGGGGGCAGGGGAGAGGGAGGAGGTGGGGGACTGTCGGGCTCACCGCGTGGTGAGGGGCCTGGAAATTTTTGTTTTACTAAATCTCTCTCACTCTCTCACTCTGTCTCTCTCTGTCTCTCTCTCGCTTTCGCTCGCTCTCTCTCCCACTTACATTTCGGTATATCCGTCCTACTCAGCTGGCCGCTGTCCAACGCCAGCGTCAAGTTCATCACCGACCCGCTGGGCGTCGTGTTGGCGGTCGTATTGGAAGCCTAAATTTATTGTATGAAAAATAAAAGCTTAATTACTCCGGTTTTATTCCTAAAAAACATACCCTGGAAATGACAACCGAACACTTGGTGACTTTTCGCTGCTCGTCGTGGTCGCCGGACTTGCTGCGCACGAGCTGCTGTTGGAGGCCCTGAAAATAGGTATATTTCACTCACTCTCTCTCTCTCTTTCTGTATCTCTCTCGATCTCGCTCTCTCTCTGTCTCTTCTGCTCCCTCACCTGATATCGAGCACTATTATTCCCCCTATGTATCCTCATCTCGGCCCCGCTCTTCACCGACACACATCTCGAGCGCCCCGTCTTCAGCACCGTCGCAAATATCGACACGTTCAGGGCGACCTATAGGGTTACGGTATTTTGGTCATTTTTTAGAGAACCTACCATCACAAATGCTGGGACGACGAAGGAGAATGAAGCGGAGAACAGGATGTATTCGTCAGGGAGGGTCAATGGGACGCAGAGAACGGATTCTGAAGGGGAAAATTAAAAAAGGGATGCTAGTTTTAGTTTTCAAGGAGCTTTAAGGCTGGAGATTAATAGATTTCAAGGTTGAGCACGACGTACTTGATGCTGCTCGCGTTTGAAGGACCCAGAGGAGGAAGGCGAGGCCGAAAGAGACGACCCAGACTCCGAAGATCATCAGGCGGATGACTCTGGAAGTGAGAGGTAGAGAAGGAAAGCGCGAAAGGCAGCCAAAAAAATATGGAGAGAGAGAGCGAGAGAGAGAGAGAGAAATCGGTACCTTGTCGATGAGATGATCGGGTATTTGATGGGCTGCCGGACGGCCATGTACCTAGAAAAGGAACGTTGAAGGACAAAAAAAACATAAGAATCGTCTTGCTCTCTCGCTCGCTCTCTCTCTCTCTCTCTCTCTCTCTCTCTCTCACCATAAATCCGGCCAGGTGCAAAACGCATCTGGCTCCTGGTGCGAAAATGATGCGAACTAGCCATGACGGGAAAATTTCGGAAAAAAGATTGGACCCGGTCTGCTTCGAAATGGCAGCTCTGTTTTGATGCGTGGGGGGGAGGGGGCGAGACGAGAGAGAGAGGGAGAGAGAGAGAGTGAGAGAGAGAGAGATAAAGCTCAAAACTTACCGATCAAAGCTGATGGCGAGTAGATTGTAGATAGAGGCGGTGGAGAGCCAAACATCTAGTGCCAGCCAGAGCGTGCACCACGTTTCGCCGAAAATCCACTCCTGGCGGTGCTCCTGGAAAAAATGAAATCATATGGAAATTCCCGAAGCGTCTTCTCTGGCTGCCTTTTCTCTCTCTCTCTCTCTCTCTCTCTCTCTCTCGCTCTCTCTCTTTCTCTCTCTCCTAGTCTCTCACCTGCATGATGGCAAACGGGAGGATGACAATCCCTAGCAGCAAATCCGATATCGTCAGGCTGAGCACGAGGAAATTTGTGGGGCTGTGCAGGGATTTCTGGAACCAGCTTTGCAATGAAAATAGAGATTTTGTAGCTCTCTCACGCTCTCGGTCTCTCTCGCTTACCTGTGAGGCCAAGACATAGAGAACAAAAATATTGCCACATACAACCACCAAATTGACGACGCCCAGCACGCCAGAGATGGCGGCCAGCATCCTTTGTATTGCCCTGAAAAAAATAGCCTAAAATCCACTAACCAAAAAATTTAAGAATTGTTGAAATCATCCTACTATATATAAAAAAATAGTGTCTGTGTGTTTGTGTGTGTGTGTGCCACTTTGCATGCAACTTCCGTCAGGGTGTCCGGAGGATATCTCGAGAGGGAAAGGGTTTTAAGCAACGTATGGTACGTCATTAGGTGCGTAATGGCGCTGAGATGACTGCACACACATCAGATTTTGCAAATTATGCTATTTTCGACGTTAAAATTAAGTTTTTGTTAGAAAATGGAGCACCCAGTTTGTTAGGAATCAATTAGCATATGCCGGAAATGGCGCGAGTCTATATAATGGGCGGAGGGAGAAATTTTCATTTTTTTTGTCATCGGAATTCGCGAGAGTTATGTAAAATGAAGCATATTATGACGCTAGACGGGGGCCAGGGTTGAAAAGGCGTGAAGCGGATTTTCAACCCTGGTTTCCATTAAAAATAAAACAGATTAATAAAAAAATAAACCAATTTTCAGTTTTAAGTTACCTTTAATGCCCTTTTAAGACTTAGAGTTGGCGAATTTACGCAAACTAAATCAAGTGAGTATGAAAAATAGGGGGTTTACAGCCAAGGCAGGCTGGCAGAGACCATTTAGAAACGCCTAGAACCTTCTAGAATATGCTAAATCAATCAATCAAGAAAGTCAAAAAATCAAAAACTAAAGATAAATTTGGCCGTGACCTTTCGGCGACCCTTTACAGAACCCATTTCTGGGCCCGGAATATCCTTATCCCCGTGCGTAGCGCCCCCGGTCGGCAAAAACACGGCCAAATCGAGCTGCACCTGCCACGGGGAATGGAAGAGGACAGCTGGAATTTGAGGGTAACGGCGTGGCCCGGTCGAATCAGGGCTACAGTACCAGAGTGACGGGGAGTTAGAGGCGAGAGAGGGAGAGTGAGAGAGAGGGGGAGAGGGAGAGGGGGTAAGAAATAGATAGATAACTTGGTTCTTTTCCTGAATGCTCTTTGCTAGCCTGCCTAAAGTGGGCGAGAGAGATAGAGCTTGAAAGTGAGCGAGCAAGACAGGCTAGAGACCAAGAGAGGAAGAGAGCGAGAGCTAGAGAGAGTGGGAAAGAGAGAAAGAGAGAGATAGTGGGAGAGAGATACTTAGCAAAAATTATCGGGAGTTGCAGTTCGTTATGGCAAGCTAGCAGGGATCATTTGGGAATTTCGACGGCTGGGCGTGCAGGCGGTGGTTCTTTAGGAAATCGACGGACAGGAGAGAGCCAGAGACAGAGAGCCTGAGCGAGAGAGAGAGAGATAAGGCCCCAATGCTAGAACATGGCCATCGCTTTTCTAAGGCTTAGCCCGAGGCAGTAAATAGCAATTTTCAGCGGGTGCATACTAGAAGCTTAAAACATGTCATTAATACCTTGATCTCAAAGAGGCCTATACACATTTTAAAACGTTTAAGGCATAAAACATCCAAGGAAGCAGCAACAATTTTATAGGCTAATCTATTTGGCGATTAGTCAGAGGCGCCAATGGGTAATATGGAGAATAGGGCCGAAAAAAGGTGGGTGCCGGGGACCAGACCAGTCAACAATGCCTCGTATTGTGCGGCTCCTCTTTTTCAACTTTTTTCGATGGACTTGTGATCTTTTAAAGTGACAAGGAAGTGGTTAGGCTTAGTTTCGGGCTTAGATTAGGACGCTTAAGACCTGAGCCTAAGCATAAGCAAACGCCTAAACCTAAACCTAAACTTCTCCACAACTACGCGGCAGCCCAAATGACGCTGGTGTTATTAGGCGTACCGCGTATCTGACAGCACATAGCAGGTCCTAAAGGTCGATTCTTGTGTTTTCTAGGTCATTTAAGCAATTCCGCAACTATACTATCGACTAATTAATGGCACGTGATTTTATATTGATAAGCAAATATTTTTCCGAAATCTTGGGGAGCGCGAAATGATCGCGAGCAAAGAATCGGATGCGCTAATCTGAAATGCAGACAGAAATGAAGGGAGAGAGAAAGGAAGTGAGAGCGAGGGAGAGAGAGGGGGAGAGGGAGCGAGAGAGATAGCTACAGAAAAATGAGATCAGAACAGAGGCCTCCCGAGAAACAGCTGAATGTCACGAAAATGAACAGGCAACCCAGCCGATCAACGGGGAGAATAATTCAAGGCATTCTGTCTGTTGCTCTCGAATGGGCGGATTAAAAGACTTGAGAAGAAGTAAAATAGTACTAGTAAAAATGGTAAAATATTTATTATAATGCGCTCCAGTCTTCGAAAACACTTGAACTTTTTGTTAATAATTAACAAAAAAAGGTTGAATTTCAATTTTAAAAACAATTAAAAATCGTTATAATGTTCTGGCAACTTAAAACTATTAAAACACTGTAAAAATATACTTTATCTTTTGAATGGTCAAAGCAAAAGTAAGAGAAAAGCAAAAATTAAAATTGCTTACCGCGGAACCCCCCCCGCTAAAAGCCCAGTACCGATTATTCGATCCCAGCTCTACTTAACTAGCTTCTAACTCTCAGCTCCCAGTCCCAAACTCCAGCTCCAAAATTCAAAAACCAAAACCGTGGTGATAGTGACAAATTGAGAAAGGCCAACCCGTCAGGACCCGAAATCCTCCGAACAAATTCCCGGCCATAGACTACGCGGTGATACCGATCACGGATTTCGCGCAAAAACATCAACAGATTTTTGCCCATCTGCAAATGCCATTTTTGAGCACGAATTGTGCCTTGAACTTGCTGAACTCGGCGGATTGTGGTTGGGCTTCGAAAGTCGAAAAACGAACGAGAATGCAAGCAACCGGAGCATTGGCAAATAGGGGGGCCTTTGGCCCGGGGCATGTGTTTGAATTCGGAGGCTTCTGCCCGGGGTCTTGGCTTCGGGAATTGGCCAAGTTCTGGGCCACTCATAAAATCCGACGCCACCCAAACAAATTTGAACCGGCTTTAGGGTTGGTTCTCTGTCTTTCTTTCTCTCTCTCTCTCTCACTCTCTCTCTTTCTCTGTCTCTCGCCAATTTACGTACTAAACGATGCGCTCGAGCTTCGCCGCTGACGCTGGATTGGGTTCCGATTTTGGAGGCAGAAAAAGTCATTTCGGTGGTTTTAAAGGGACTGGAAGGACTAGAGTGTATCTAGAGTGCGTTATGCTCTCTTCAATACGGTCTTTGCTAGCCTGCTGGCGATCGAAAGAGAGACAGGAGAGGGAGAGAAAGAGAGATAGAGAGAGGGAGCGAACAAACTCTATATTCACAGGTACATCTCAGGCACAAGATCTCCATCCCACACGCTCCAAATAACGCTCCGATATTCCCGTTAATTGTAAAGGAACGGAAAAGCGAAGAAAGACAATGCCAACTACGTGTCGTTCTGCTATTGTTATTTCAAGGGATATGGGGGATGAATGGATGCGAGAGAGAGAGAGAGAGAGATGGCTTTGAAGGGAAAATGAGCGTCGTGGTCCATCAGAAAAAGTCCTAAAAATAGCTGGCGACAAGAAAATGAGCAGAGACGACTAATCCACGAGCTCACGGTGGTCACCCAGAAAATGGCGTAAAAATCCGGAATTGTCATCGTTCATAGAGGGATGAGGCCAACTTTGACCTAGAATTTTTCTCTCTATCTCTTTTTATGTCTCTCTTTCGCTTTCTCTCTTTCTCTCTCTCTCTCTCTCTCTGTCTCTCTCTCTTTCTCTCTCACTCTATAAGACCAGAGCCACCGTAGTACCATCAAAAACCGAATTCGTCTGGCCGAACCAAGAACATGGAAAGGGTAAAGCGTCGAGGGTTAGAGAGAGAGAGAGAGAGAGAGAGAGCGATGGAGCGAGATAGAGAGAAACAGACAGAGACACAGAATGTGAACATTATTACCCCTCGCAAAAATGCACCAATCAGACGAAAAAAAAAACCGGGATTTCCGGTGGAGGGGGATGAGCGCGGAGTGCCGCGGAAATTTGCGGAAATTGTCGCTTTTTTATGCTCCCGTCATCACGATTAAATAATTTGTGGCAGTGGAGAAACAGCACGAAAACGTCTGGTAAAAATTCGGAGGTCTGCTGTCATTTTAAAGGCACCGGGAAGGCAAAAGGTAGTTATGAAGCTTACCGTCTCTGTCTCTCTCTCTCTCGCTCTCTCTCGTAAAGGCATACTAGCACTAATTACATATGATTCCGTTGAACCCAAATGACGACGGCCAGCTAGCAAAGATCATTGAGGAAAGCGAAAAATCAGCTGTTCAATTCATGGGGGCACTTGATGGGTTGAAAGGACAATTCAAGGGCCCACACTCCACCCCGCCCACCCCGGCTGCAAATTCCGGAAAAATGCAAAAGACGCCTGGATGGGCGCCGATTTTCGATGGTCAATGAGAGGGCGAAAAGATTGGGGAAGAAAGAAGCTGTAAATACAGGAAAAATCGTTCCGAACGACTCCACTAACAACAACACAGGAAGGCAAAGTATTCTGCAAACAATGGATAGCTAGCAGAGACCATTGAGGAGAGCTAGCAGAGACCATTGAGGAGGGCTAGCAGAGACCATTGAGGAGAGCTAGCAGAGACCATTGAGGAGGGCTAGCAGAGACCATTGAGGAGAGCTAGCAGAGACCATTGAGGAGGGCTAGCAGAGGCCCTTTAGGAAGCCAATAAATTCCAAGACGTTTGCCGAAACGCAGTCAGCTTAGATTTTCAAGGGATTGCAGTGCATCGTAGTAGTAAAAGCCGTAGATTTCTTCCCGTTCGTCCCTGGGGAGTTGAGGTGAGCGGAAAACATGTCTCGTCGCCGTTTAGGGGGGCAGTCATTCAAATCCTGACATTCGACCCTAGGCCCTTCCCTCCTTCCAGACATAACCCCAAGCCGCAAAAACAGCTCGTGGCTTCTGCCCAACGGATTTACCCCTCATTTTTTACTGCTCTTTTGAGCAGGCCCATCATTTAGGGGGTTACCCGGAGGGTTCAAAGAGCAGGCGAGGGGATGGTGAGAAT